CACACACACACACAAAATATTTAAGCACTACTCTTCAATGTTGTAGGGAATCCATATTAAAAAAGACAACACAACCTTTAAAACATTTAATTTCTAGTCCAAGCAGTCAACACGATGTATCTGATGATAATAATAATTATGTAATGTCGTATACAAATCAACTATAGATAACAATAAAATGAGACAACTGATTGAATATATAATAAAAACAATATCAAAAACATAAACAGAACTGTCTTCATTCTGAAAGAAAAATTTATTAACTAAATATGAACCCCAAAATTTAATCTGTGCAAAAAACAGTCACAGGATGACTTACCAGATCAATAAATATGACTGTGATTCTACATAAAGTATGTGATAAGCAAAACATGCTGATTCTTCAAAGTACATTTAACATAGTAGTTCTGATAACTTTAACACGATCCATATTACTTGAAATACCTTGCCAAAATTTTTAATTTTTTTTAATCAACATAATATCTTAATCTAAAACAAAGTTTGCCTCTTATTACTTTTAGTAATTGGAAATGTTAATAAACCAGTTTTCTAACTTCAATATTTTATCTTAATATCATTTAAAGTCTGTCTTGATTAGTACTTGAATACATTTAAGAAAAAAAAATAGAGGAAGCAAAGATACCAATATGTATGTAGTAATCAAATAAATATTCAGAAATGTACTAGTGACTTGACAGGAAATTTTTACACAAAAATTAACTCATAACAGTATTTATGCATGATTACTGTAACCAAAAAGCAATAATTGCTGACATGGTTAAAAATAAATACAAATTATTGCTGCATAGCTATGTTGCAATTTTGCACACAGAGCACCTTCCTGGCCATCATGATACACCCAACAGTACAAGAAATACCAGATCTGAAACTATATACTGTATCTGTATTTGTTCACATATTTAAAGCATGTTAATAATTACACCTGATATTATTAAGCACATTATTTTCCACCTTTACCATCACATAATGAATTGAATCATCAAGGCATGCTAGCATATATACTAAGGCATATGTTTATAAACAGGCACAGACACAAGGGATAAGAAGGACATATTGTTATCATGGCTACACTTCTAGGAAGATTTGTCAAGTTAGGATTATGTATAAAAAGTATTATTCGTCTAAAAATGTTCTGTTACATCTAAATTTCAAGTTCCAACAAAATTTTTCCTTGTTACTATCTCTCCGTTCATACGACAATTTTTTGTTTGAAGCTCACCATCCAAAAATTATTAATTATCAGCATACTTTAAATGAAAATGATGAAATGAGAGTCCACATATATATCTCGAAATAAGAGGCACATTTATCTTACCATATTCTAACCTAAGTGGTATGAGTACTCAGTACATATATTTGTGATCAAGTTTTAGAGAAATGTAAATGTATATATACACAAATTCAATAGGAAGGCCCATTCATCCACCATTGACTGAGATATCTTCATCCTGATGTGCTTGGACATTGGAGTACACAGGCAAGCATTTGCTATATAACTGTTGTGAGGCTGTCTAAATAGTTTCCCACTGTGAAATTCATTTGTTGTCTTCAGCGATCGCCTTCTGAGTCAACACGCTCTCGTGGGGTGCTCTAAAAATTGGAAAGGAAGATGGTATGAACCTCAACTAAAAAAGCAAGAATATAGGAATTTAGTCATTAGTTTTCTGATCTTATGAAAGAGAGAGAGAGAGAGGTTTGCAACAGTGAAAGTAACTCATATTAATCTATACATGTGTACACTAACAACCCACACATTTATCAACATGAATCACAGTCAAAACATTATATTCTCTTGTATACATGGTTTCAACACAGAACACAAATAGATTTGAAAATGCTCATATGCATCAGGGGCACTTCTACTGGCTAGGAGGAAGAAAATATGTGAGGATTGACTAAAAACATTGAAAGGCAAGCAAGCTGATGCAAAACATTTGGCAGTCATTTTCAAGCACACAGCACAACACAGTCCAATACAAAAATGCATATACCCCTAATATTTATCTCAATTCTGACTGGATTTCTAAAAATTGTCTGAGTTCAGGCTGTGCAATTTGGTCCTTTTGGTCAAGAAAATATCTTATTGTAAATTGTAAGTAAGATAGTCTATCCTTAAAGCGAGCTCTTTCACTTTTTCATCATCAATAATTTTTCAATAAAATATAACAATGTTTTTCTTGTTCACTATCCAATATACTTAAGTTCAGATTTGCAGAGATGAATGAGTGCATGTACGTTAAGTCAATTAGTTGTTATTATTATTAGACTGACTACTTTTGAGGTTACGAACACCATACAGCAACAAGATTAATGACACAATGAGAAAATCACAGGTGAAACACTGAAGTTCTGCCTTAGAAAAACACAGTCCTAGGTATAAACCAGATTTCCCTATTTCCCCTTCAATTATAACATCTGTGAACTTGCTTGTTACAAGCTATAAGGCTGCCAAAAAGAAGAGTGATCAATGAGGTCAGTATTCCTCCAGTACACAGTGTGTACAGCACAGTGAATACTATTGGTAATTAAAACACCTACTACCTGTCTCCTCTGCCTTTACTCATCCCTCCAGTCCCTGGAACTTAGCCAGCAGGTTCTTGGTCATGTTAGGGGGAGGCAGGTCATCTTCCTCCTTGCTGTCAGCATTATACATGATGTCCTTCTGTGAGTGGTCAGGGGAGTCTTCATACTGACCACTGTCACTGCTGTATGTCATGGAATCTCTTGGGGGGTGGTCACTGGTGATAGAACTTGTGTCCGAGTGAGCGTCATCGTGTTTCCAGTGAGAAGAAGCATGAGAGGCAGAGGAAATACGCACTTCTCGTGGCGTCAGTCGAGTGACATCTGAAGAAGACTTTGGCGTAGTAGGCAGAGGCACATCAGGGTTGTCATGTTCTAGGGTTTTGAATTTTGCTAACAGATTTTTGGTCAGTCCATGTTCGGGGAGCTCATTTTCATCATTGCGGTCAACCTCTCTGACCACCTCGCCATGGTTTTGACCATGCTCCTGATGGTATCTATCAGGAATACTGCCCAGGCTACTCGAGTCTGACTTAGTTAAACTCTCCACGCTATGCACACTGTCCCGAGACTCAGAGTGAGGCGTTTTAGATAGCGAGGTTCTAGTTACACCACCTTTCACTGGCTTAGGCTTCTCAGACACCTCAGACTGTAAACAATTTCACACAACAATAGTGAGGTTAGTATGTTAGCATACGTGTATGAGAAGCTCATATATTCTTTAGAATCCTGCACCATGCCCAAAGGTCTCATGCACTGAAATTATCTACATTTGGGTGTAAATTAATAATATGTATATAAACTAGGGCTATAAGAAATGGAGGTTTTTATACCAAAAGAGGTAGTTGCTATAAAACTGATGCAATTCTTAAATTCAATGATGCACAAAAATTCACTGTAACTAAAAACAACTAATGAAGGTAATCAAGTCATTATGAAAAAACTCCTTACTGAAATGACAAGCAACACAAGCCAAACAAACATGAACATAAAACGGGTCTAATTCAGCAACAGCAAATGGTCTCTCAAAAATCCCCTTGCAAACTGAGAACAGCAATGAATACATGACAAAAAGCAGAATGCTACACCATGCATGCAAACTCACCTTCTTTCTCAACACAACATTCTCTGACTCCTTCTTGGCTGCTTCTTCTTGCATACTCTTGAACCTGGCAAGAACATTTTTTGTGTAGCCATATTCTGGAAATTCAGTTTCCACAATGCGGCTGCCTTCTCTTGCGACTCCATCCTGCACCTCTGGATTGCTCTCATATTCCCCACTTTCAATTTGCTGCTCATAATCCTCCACTGTTTTCACTGGCTTGTTCTCAAAGATGCCTGCCTCAAACTCTGGAGTTTTCTCTCTCGGCTTGTCGGGATTTACTGCAGGAGCTACGACAAATGCAGAATAATTATAAGTAGTCCGTTGAGCATTCACTGCAAATTTCTGAGTTTGTTTAGTCCGTTCTGGAGTTGGTGGTGGCTGGTTTGCAGCCTGTTCTTCCAATGATCGGAATTTTCCAAGCAAATTTTTTGCAAAGCCAGCAGGGGGTAGTGCTTCCTCAGCATTTGCTTTATCCCCAGACCGCACCAGATTTGGATCTTGCGGAGCCTCATTTTCTTCATCCGAATCTTGATGGGCCAATTGTTGATCTTCACGTGGAGGAGTAATTCTTTTAGGGGGCTTCCTATCATAAGTGGGTACTGTCCCTCCTGTCTGGATCTCTTTGAACTTTGCCAGTAGATTCTTGGTGTGGGAAGGAGGAGGGAGCTCAGCTTCATGGTTATCTTCCATATCAACATTCACAGGTTTTGGTCTCTCTATCTGTTGCACTGGTTCTTCTTTTTCTTTTACCACTGGAACATAGGCTTCATACGCTAGCGGCTTATTGCCAGGGGCATCGAATTTGGACTTAAATGAGCCTGCTGACTTGGCCTTTCTCACTTCGTCTAAATCTGTGGCATCGCGTTGATAGGACCCTTCACCTCTGATGACATCCCCAGTCTGCCACTTGGACATGATGTCCTTCATCCCTTCAAAGTGGATCTGAAATAAGAGGTGAAAAGGTTATCTTCCAAATACATGACATAAACAAGTTTTTGTGACTACCTACAGCAAATACTCTTTTCATGTAGTTTTGTCTGTCTGTAATCAATAGATCTCTAATTTGAAAAATACTGAGATCAAAATCACCAGTGAGGTAGCATTTGCGAAACATTTACTATAAATGATATAATCTAAAAACCATCAGCCGCCACCAGAGTTTTTTTTTCCAGTTTGGTTATAACAAAGTGGATAATTCATCAAATTATTAGTCACATATTATATGTGAACACTGCAGCCAGTTTACATCCATCTCTTTATTCTACAACCTATGGGGAGTTGTTAATAGCAACTTCGTCATTCAAATCAATGATTTCAATGTTAAGAAATATGCAATTCAGAGTACTCAATGAAAATAAGAAATATCTCTACATTTACTTTTTACAATTTTTCAAATGCGTTTCATGCTTATTAAAAAGTGAACTCCACTAAAATGAGTCACAGTTTGTATGTGTTATATCAATCTTGTCCAATTCTGGTATTAGGACTTTTGTATTGCACATTAAGACATGCTGGTTATTATTACAGTTGATCTTCAAACAAATATACCTCTAGTACTCTGCTATACTGATGTAAAATAGAACTACACTGCACTTTATAAAGACAGTATTGGGAGAACCAAAATTAGTCTCATGTGTGGGAGAACCAAAATTAGTCTCATGTGTCAACCAATTCATGTACTGCTATATACAGAATCTCCTTCAGAACTCAAGAGCAATATCATGTTCACAACTAAACTGCACATCTACTGTTCTCTCTTTTTTTTTTCATTATCCTACAGAAAATGCTTATTAGTTCATGCCATAGTCACATTTGATTGATAAGTACTAAACTGACCACAAGTGATCTCTCTCTCTAGACAAGGCCAGGTTATGCATTCAAGACACCAATACATGTTATATCTCACTATCAAACTATGTCATTGCCAGCTATGGGGGTGCCCAAATTGGATAAGAATACCAGATGTAATGAGGAAATAGAGACAAAAGCAGTGACCATAAAGACAGTGATCAGTATGGATATGAGTGGTGTCTGTGATCCATGTTCAGGTGGGAGAGAACTGAAGACAAATGTGAACTACAGCTATAATAAGAAAAATGCATGTTATGTTAAAGAGAGGGGAAGTTGGGGGGGGGGTTGAACCTGAGAAGGGGGTGATTGTACCCAAGATCACATTTGAATTTTTGTTAGGAATTAGATGTCAAAAGACAACCTTATTTAATATCATACAAAACTGGGTGGAATAATCAAGTTTTCTTCTCAAAGAACAATGAAAATGTGAAGTTGAAAATAAACTGGGAGTGGAAGGAAATATTGTACATCATATTCAGTTCTCTTGACTTTTGTATCCTTCTCTTTCATATTATATGTTACTTATCATAATTCATAGCAGTTTATAGGGAGGGGCAAACAATTTTTTTCATACCTCTAGTCTGTGCCCATCAGTTTGGACACCCCAAGTCTGCTTCATGTCATATTCAATAGTGCATCTAACCATGCCTAGAAAATGAGTGTGTTTTTTACCTTACTCTCTTCAGTATCTTTGTCACCATTGTTTATTACCTCCTCCTTCTCCCCAAGATTTTCCCGTAAAAGTTCACGTTCCTCACCACTTGAAGGCGTTCCTTGTTCACTAGGGGAACTAGCAGAGGAAACACTACTGCAAAAAGAATAAAACCTGCACTTGTAATCTTCAACACATTTGCCTAATAGTAATAGGAGCTAAGAAAATGATTAGCTAAATACAAACAAAACTATCACACATCTGTTATTGATTCATGAAAATCTTACAAGACTTGGTCATATACTTGCATGCATTCACAAACATCTGAGATAAGAATGACATAATACATCTTCTATGACATTCTACTGTCAAAGGACTTCCCAGCTCCAAACCATTCTGCTTTACCTGTTATAACAACCGTTGTTGTTGTCCTTGCCAAGTTCATCATCACAGAGAGTTGACTGCATAGTGGTGGACATAGACTGGGAAGTTAACGCCTAGAGGGGCCAGTACCAGTGATGAACTGCAGCAGACTACAGTTGTAGCTGCATAGATATCAGCCCAACCAGTGGTATATGATACAAGACATTTATCATCTAAAGCAGAGCTAATGTTCACATTCTCCTGCTGTGTATAGCATAATTTGATCAAAGTTCAGCAAGGGAAGTGCTGCTTAACACCCTGTGATCGAAATACAGCAATTGATGGTCGTTATTAATGTGCTGTGTGATAGGCATTGTCAGTCCAATTTCCATTGTTTTATACAAAGAGGCAAAACACAATTTAGTTTTTCTGGATTTCCAGCTCAATAACACAAGTATTGTCAAGATGCCAATGTCATTTCCTTCCTGTTGTCCTTGATGTGATCTTGATCCAACTATGACCATACAAACTTTATATACTCATTCAAAGGTTCACACAAACTCTGGGACTCGTTTTTGTCATTAAATTACATCCAACTATAAAATATAGCATTGGTCCACATTTTGCAAAGGCATTTAATTCAAAAGTTGGTCTACAGGTTCTGGCCAGTGTTAGGCTATAGCATAAATGAGGTGCTCAGGTTGTTTTTTTTTTAGTCTGTGGGAAGTCTCTGGGCTTTAGTGCTTATCCTGGTTCTTCAGCCTAAAAGGTGCTTGTCTTTAGTTAGGTACTTATGATGCTTCTTCAGCCTAAAGAAGGGAGCTAGGCTTTAAACAGGTACATATAATGGTCCTGCATCCTTAAGAAGGGTGCTGGGCTTAAGTAAGACACTCACCTTTGTTCAACGGCCAAAGGAAAGGTGCTAGGCTTAAGTAAGGTACTCACCTTTGTGCAACAGCCAAAGGAAAGGTGCTAGGCTTAAGTAAGGTACTCACCTTTGTGCAACAGCTAAAGGAAAGGTGCTAGGCTTAAGTAAGGTACTCACCTTGGTCCACTAGCCTTGGGGCCAGTCGATTTCTTAGTGGCCATCACCTGTGGTGGAGGGGGAGCTTTGGCACCTGGACCGTCAAACTTAGACTTCAAATTTCCTAAACTTGGGCAGCTCTCTAAACCATCATCCTGGTGGTCTTCAGCTGTAAGGAAGGTCAAGGTACATTTAGTATACTACAAATGAAACACATTTTCCTTAAAAGTCCATAGACAACCTAATAAGTTTCAGTTTCAAGAGGGAATGCACGTAAATCCATCTGCAGATCTACTTCCTTCTTTTCCTTCAAAAATACATAACCTCATATATCTTCAATTCATTTTTAATTTCACTTTCAACATTCCTTTTTTTCCCTTAAAACATCCACAGACTCTCCTAAATGAGAATTGAATTTGCCCCACTTCCTACCATTGTAGCCATGCTTGATTTTGCTCAGATGTGAACCTAATCTATACAGGTGAGTTATGGTGAAGCACATCTGGCTATATTAAGTAGTCTGTACCTCACCTGCTGAGTCTGACCCTTGGTGCTAGACATACTGTTATTTACCAAAACGCCCACCAATATTGTGCATCATTATTGCATTAATACCATTGTTGCTTAAATGATTTTTAAGGAATACTTGTAAAACTAAAAGAATTTTAGTCAAACTGTTAAGTATATGGGTTTCATTCATTTAAAAAGCTAGGTGGCGCACTGTCAGCTTCCGCACATTTGCTGAAATACTGAACCATCTTCTAGATGTGGAATGCTTAACAAAACATACCTATTGCTTCGCAATATGAATTCACAAACCTACAGAAATAGTGGAATCAGAAACACATAAATATGGCAGAACCTAAACAGTTATATCATTTTATCACTGTCTGATGAACCAGGCCCATGGCAATTCTCTGCCAATTGCAGTTTCAATGCCTTTACACAACATTCAAGGAAGGAAATGAACCACAGATTTCTTTAAAATTCTTAGACATCAGAGCTAAACTCAACCTCTTATTCCTATGTTCCAGATGTTCTTACCAGTTCATATGCCTACTGTTAAGTATACTACCTGTTATTTCTTGAGGTTCACTTTTCTGTTTAGTAGCAGAACTTGCTTTTGGTCCACTTGGCTTAGTTAACTCCTGTTTGGTTTTCTTCCCTAATCTACTAAGAGCATCCTTTACTGATGACATTGTAACATGCAGTAATAATAATAATAACTTTTAACTACTTTGTGAGACTCAACAAAGAGCTTAAGGTCTTGGTGCCAAACCATCCACTCCAGTCTCCTTCCTGCGAAATTAAGTTGGCAAAGAGTGGCGATAACAAATGATCAGCTGTTAGGGGATATGAGTTGTTTTCACCTGAGTTCCTATGAAATCCAGCACACAGCCTACACAGGTATTTTTTTACACCAACCATGGCCAAGCATTAATCACGAAAAAAGCCAGGTTTTATTCAGACTAATAGCCAGATCCTAGCAAAGCCAAATAGTCAGTAAAGCATTTTCTTGTTTGATTCGAATATTTCTTTTTCACTACATGATACAAAATTATTTTTTAATTACTTCACTTTAAGCAGCCACAAATTCAAACCATCCAAGAGTCTGGGCTGAAAAAAAAAAGCGTATAATTTGTAGAATCCCCAGTAGCACCGAGATAAACTGTAACCCTGTTTTTCTATTGCCTGGTGTGCAGTCTGTGATCCCAGACAAATCCAGCAATCACTACACCACCAAAATGCCAGCCAGCCTATTTCTTTCAGATACATGGAGAAGAACATTTCTTTAAGACGGGAGAAGATAGGTTTGCTTTTGAGCTGCGTAAGGAAGAAGTTGTATTCCAGTTGCCCTACTGAGTCCCTATCAATATATAAGGTCAGCTGGGAGATAAAGACATGTATAAAGCAACATTATTTATAGGCTGGAAAAATATGCAAAAAAGTGCAGAAAACCTGAAACAGAGCATGTAAATGTCGCCCACCTCTGTCAGAATGACAAGGAGAGAACATCTGTGGCACGTTAATTTCTAATCTTAATACATAAAATTAATATGCTTAAGTACAAGTTTCATAAGTGGATATTCTGATATATAATCACAGAATATTCCTACATTTCTTTCATCTACAGACATGGTCACAAATGCACCTGAAAATGCCAGTAGACCATTTCTATATGTGCAATTAAAAATATAAGGAATGGCAGAGTTGAAGGAGTAGAATGACAGTTAGTGATATTTTATTAGATGATCCTTAACAGACCTATTACGTCTTGACATGTAGTATCTCACTCTGTCAGTGTTGACTTCTGAAGTGGTATTTCACTACCTACCTACTCCTACCTTAATGATTCACATTCTAGCAAATAGTTCACATTCCTCTGTCTACATTATGAAATGCACAAACTTCCCCATGAAGGAAACAGAATACCTGGATTCCGGATAAATAGCCTCTAAGTTTTGCAAAAATCATTTTCTTACCTGTGCTATGTGTAATTCTCACTTGAAAGAACTAGAAATAAAACTAAAAGGCCCCAGGCTTAGGCAAACCCAATCAGTTTGGAATGTTTGTAATTCAAAACAGCAATCATGTTATACTATGATGGCACAGTCATAACAGACAAGGGAGAAAGGTAAAAAATTCATA